TGTCATTTTTTTCTACCTAAATAATAATAAGCTCTTTTATCCTATACATTTACCAACCCAAGTTTGTCCTAATGTGTTTGATCCTTAAATTTTTCACAAAACCCAATGGGCTATTTCGAAGCTGTGTGTTCAAATTTATTCAGTTGTTTTTTTCAGAGTCATCAGTATCATCCATCCCTTAGTAATAACTTAAATTTTCCTTTTCTATTTCATTCTATTTGTTTTGCTCAAGACTGCCCAGCATGTCACATGATTTTTAATCTATATATTTCATTTCCAAAGTGGCTTTTGCCTTCGACTCCCATTTCTTTAGTGAATTGTGCAGTTTACTTTTTTCTTAGCTGAACTTTGGTGAGTTCTTTTTTTTACAATATCCTTAAGATCTTGGTGACTTGTTAAAACTCATTCTTTGTTCCACTGATAATGCTTCTTGTTTTTATGTCCTTTCCGCTTGTTAACTGTAACATCTGTGTACAAGCTCCCTACTGAAACCTTTAATGGTGAGTCACCTTCTGTGATTTGGGACACAGGATTTTAAGAAATCCTTTGGGAAGTAGGTCTCAGGGTGGGCCATAGATGTGGAGAGCTTTGTTGCTTGTGCATAATCTGTTGTCCCAACAAGTCTTTTATCACATCCTCAATTTTGGTTTTGAACTTAGGTGTTTATCTTCGATTGTTAATGCATAGGAGAAAGTGCTCTAATTTGCAGGATCTAATGATTTCTCCCCTCCCCCAACTTTTTAACCCCAGTTGGTTGCCTTAGCTGGAAGACTGTGTCATGCACAATAAAAAAAAACACATTAATATAGTTTTATTTCTAGCATTCTGCCTCATGAAAATAGGTCTTTATGTCAATATTTCTTAGTTGTTCCTTTAGAACCTGCAGTGTCATTATTTTAATTTTGTAGAACTTTTAGAAAAATCTGCATCTAGCTCCACTTATGGAATATAACTTCAATCTATATAATTTCTAATTTTAGTATATATTTCATAGTTTGTGGGGCATGTTTGTATCATAATTTTTGGTTTAGAGGTGTGGTTGTTTTCTTTAGTTTCCTTGCAATTAAGCCTGTTATTTTTGTCTTTTCTTCTTTTCATGGGTTTAGGAATAGGAGAATGTCGAAAGAAAGGTTCTTAATCTATCAACCTTAAATACAAGTTTCATATTAAGTTATGCTTAAATCCTGATATTACATCTAGAGATTCTTAGGAAAAAAATTTATGTGAATGCATCAAGTTTCCTTTTCAGAAACAAATGGTAAGTAATCAAGAAATGATAAGCTAACATAGCATTTAGTTATGTAAAAGAGGCTGAGGAGTTTTAAATTCTTCTCTTTTTTTATTGCTTATGGTGTTACAGCTTGATAAACTGGGCTGGGAATACAGCTTAGCAACATCATGCCTGCCTGGCAAGAGTGAGGCTGTGACCTCAAGTCCCAGTACAAAAAAAAAAAAAAAAATCACAAATGTCATAAACTACAATTGTAAAGTTTGGTCTCTGTAGTGAAAAATAAATGATCCATTGATTGGCTAACTGCAATCAACAATATTTATTTATAAATCACATATAATCAATCCATTCTCTGCATTTTGAGACTTCTGAACTTCTTTTCCATCATTTTTAGCACTGTAAACTAGTGAACATTTATGTACTAACACTAGAAATAACACCAGGCTAGGAACTACCCCCACCTTTTACCCTGGCCCCCACACAGATTTTCACCTCCATACTTCAGCTCATGCCCAGCAAATACTCATTTGTCTCTCATAGGCCCCTCCCCAGGAAGGCACTTCCGCCTGTCCTCCAGGCTACCTCTGCTCTTGGGCACTTATCACTCTGTAGTTTACTTGTTTAGATATTTTGTTTTCCCTATGCTTTTCCTCTTGCCCTAATCCACATGCAAGTTGCAGGTGAAAACTCAAGTTCGATCACTGACTCATGTCCCTATTAATCTTCATGTGTTGATTTCATCTGCAGTGACCCTGCCTCTTCCACAAGATGATACTCAAGGTTTGCTATCTTGGAAAGAAACATTTACTTAGTTTTTATTGTACTAGTACACAGCACTTAGCAGATTTTTGATTGTTACATGTGAAATACATCACATATCAGAGATGTAGGTTAGTATCTCTGAATTTTAGGAAAAAAATTTAATGCTGTGGAATTTGGTGTAAACACAGATTGAATTTTGACTCTTGGCTCTTTTTAACAACCATACTAAATTCAGCAAGTTAATTTATATTTCACTTGAAAATACATACTTCATTTTGTCTTTCTAAAGTATCTTCATATGGTTACTATATTAAGGTAAATAATGGTAGCTATTTTAATTCATAATCAGTTAATTGACTAGTGTAAATTGTTATCTTGTAGAATATATTCTTTTCTGTTTCAATCATGATCTTACTCTTATTCATGATTTTTGTTTGATGTGTGTGTGTGTGTGTGTGTGTGTGTGTGTGTGTGTATGTCTGTGTGCACATATCTATCACAATAACAGTGCTACAACCGCTCTCCACAATAATTGTGTTATATAATCAACTGTACCAGAAAGATTTATATGGGTTTGTGAATATCTATTGAGCATACCTATCAGTTGATATTAATATGCAATCTATATTTAGATTTGAAGTCCATATACTTAAATTCTTGGATTATCTCTTTATTTCACAGAAAATAGAACTCACTACTATCAAGGAAGCTTTGAAGTGCTAAATATTCCATATAATAAAAATTATGAAAGGGAGACATCCCAGGAAAATAACTACCTCAGTAAAATCCTTGAAACTAAGGTAAGTTAGTATTCTCCTACTTTGATTGCTGATTATTCAAAATATAAATATAGTACAATTTGATGTTTGACTCTGTGTTTTCCTTTAACAGATGGTTGATGCATTTGAAAGCTCTGACATTTACAGAAAATATATTAATTCCCAAGTCATCACACTGGTGTAAGTAACTAACACTCAACAACAGAAGAAGAGGCCAAACCATCAAATATATTGTTAGACTTCAAGTTTCTTTGTTAAAAATGTCTATTGAAAGCTTATATTCACTAGACAATAATTTACAAACATCCAACACTATCATAAATGTTGGATTATTGTCCAGTAAATTCAAAGCAGAAATTAGGCCTATATTATTGAGTTCATTACATTTATTGAGAATGTATTGATCTTCGAATTACAGGTGACTTAATCTTCTAGTTACCTAAGTGTTTTTGTTCAGAAAACCTAAGTCTCTTAGATAAATATCTGAGACTCTAATATTTTTGTTTGTCCTTAGCATAAACTGAGTCCTGTTTTCTCCTGTCTTTCTACTTTCAAGTCAGTTAAACCCTAGTGGAGCTGTCCCTAAGAGTCTTTTTAGATACAGTATTGACATCATATCCTTACCTAAGTTTTGATACCAAGGAAACTTTCTAGTCAGCATTAAAAACATCCATTCTCCAACTGGGGAGAGAGATTTACAAGAAGAAAATTATCCGTACTATCTTCCCTTCATGTGGGTTTGGAATAGTAAAGAATGGAAGAGGGATCCCCCCAAAAAAAGAAATTAGACAGTGTAAACCCAGCTTTAGCCATACTAGTAACACTAGAGTCTTGGATGAGTGGCTGTATGGGCCTGTGCTTCTATTCTGTAAGATGTAATGATAACACGTGCCATGCCTTCTATATAGCCATACTCAGAACCAAAAATCTAATGTGTGAAATATTTACAGATCAACACATTTTCATGAAGGTGATTATAGTTCTGCTATTCTAAATGTCACCAAGACCAGCCCTTCTTCGCATTCTTGGACTTAACAGTACTCTTGAAATTGTAGAATAGATTATGGTTTCAACTATAATTAATCTTAGGGATAAATTTAATGTTGGACATAGATGGAAAACTAAAGTTAAAAGTTCCAGGCACCTCTCAGAGGTGACTGTAGTCCTTGGACATCTGCTCTGTTTCGTTTTCTCACACAAAAAACTTCAGGTCTTCTTAGGTGGAGTAGATCAGGTGTGGGAATGGAGAGGCTACAGGACTGAGTTTTTCATTCTTGAATGTGCTGCTACAAAAATCAAACTTATATGAGCTGAGTGCTTCCCAGAAAGGTTTAGTATCCTCTGCTCTCTTATGCAGTGGGCCCAGGTGAGCAGAAGATAACAAACATGAAAGACCAGGAGATGAAAGAAGGAAACACTAGTTTTAGAAGTACATAGAATCTTTATGTTGTTTCCAGTCCTGATGGCAACAGTGTGACAGCTCACATATGGCTGGTTTTCAAGGACTCCAGAGCAAGGAAGGAAAACACAAGAAGAAGAATTGAGAGCATCTTACGCCAGATGCTGAAGAACCAGTCAGGGTCCTTGACCACAGATGCCACTTCTCTTAAGCTCATGGGTAAGCTTCTGCCCCAGAGGTGAGGGCTGCTGCAACACAGCCCAGCACAAACACCAGGCACAAATCTGTGTTCGTCACATTTTAACATGAATGTCATTTCACAGCAGAGCAGATATTTATATTATTCATTATTTAAAACCCAATTCAAGTCACAATAACTATGCCTTCAACTGCTTCTCATTCTAAAGTAGACATAAGTATTTGAAACAATGCATATAAGCAATTCTGTTTTAGTTTTCTTTTCTTAATATCTTGTAGCTTTCAGAAAACATGACTATATAGATCTGCCATCATAAGATAGGTCATTTCTTAGAAGTTATTTTTATATACTGAAAGGAATCAGGTCATTTGTGGGGACTTTCCTTCTTCTAAGGGGAGCAAATCACATTTTTCCATTTTAGACAATGTAGAATACAATCCATTTAAATAAGAAAGATCTCTCCCATAGAACCTTGAAGATGGTGCTTCCACATCACACATACACCTGTAGTAAAGTTAAATGCCAGTAAATCAATTTTTCTTTTCTACACACTCTTTATCCTGAAATTAAAAATGCTTTTGCAACACTCTTTCTCTGTTCTGCTGGCCATACCATCTTTCTTCATTGCCCTACAATGAATTAGGTATGAAATTTACTGTGGATTTTTGTTCTATTTCAGAAATCAGTAAAACTGCTGCTGAAAAAATTATCAACAGCCGTAAGTTGCATACTTTTTAAACGAAATTTGAGACTATTACTTTTCACGAGACAGTTTTAAGTGCTTTTTGTAGGATAATCCACTCAAACTCCTTAACAACATGAGAGATAGACATGACTATAATCTCACTTTAAAAATGAGTAAAGCAAGTACAAAAGGTGAAATAATTGCCTATGTTCAGCCAATTTGTAAACAAATATCAGGGTCAAAATTCAGGCTCAAGCAATCTGGCCACAGAGCCAATGGGTTTCAGGACTTTGCCTTTGTCCACAACTTACACACTGTCCAAATCCTGAAGTACCTCAGGGATCTTATGCTACGTAGAGACAACCCAGCGGATGCTACTGACACAATTCCATTCCATTCCTATAAGTCATGATGTTGTCACATTTAACCATAGAAGGACAACTCAGCTTGCTGTTTACTTTCTAATTGAGTGAGTATTTTCTTGAGCTGAGTATGTTGGTGGTGCACACCTGTAATCTCAGCATTGTGGAAAGCTGAAGCAGAGGAACCCTAAATTCAGATTCTACTGGAGCAATTCAGTGATTTAAGGTACTCCTGTTTCAAAATAAAAACTTTTCTAAAAGGTCTGGGGATGTAATTCAGTGAAAAAGCTTTGAGTTCCATTTCCAGTAATCACATAATAAAATAAATATTATAGCAATAAAAATAACATACATAATGAACATTATCTGTATTCCCAATGGAACAAAACTGGCCCTTTCACCAGGCTGTGGGAGGCGAGCAAGGATGTCCGCTACCTATGACAGAATCAAGGGAGGCTCCACCGCCCAGGAGGGAGAGTGGCCGTGGCAAGCCAGTCTCAAGATGAATGGCAAACACTACTGTGGGGCAGTGTTAATCAGCGAACTTTTCCTGCTGACTGCGGCTCACTGCTTCACGAAGTAAGTTCATCTCATTGCAGAGTGCTAGAGAGACCAGGAACCCCTGGGATACTCCACTTTTACCTGCTTGTTTCCCCTACACACACCTGGTTTGGAAGACAGACTGAACTGCCTATTTAAGCCTTTCCTACCTTCCCAGTACAAACAGGAAGTCTCTCTGTTTTAATGCTAAATTTTTTCTTAACTGATTCTTAGCTCTTATCATTTTATACTACAGACCCTAAAGTATTTGCAGTTGTTAAAATACAGCATCCTATTTCTCTCTCTTCTCTCTCTCTACATGTCTTCTCTACCTCAGGCAAACAGGACTTAGTCCTGCCTTCAATGCTATTTTCCCTCAGAAATCTTTCTTGCCCATAAACATACTGATGTAATTCCTCCTGTTCCTCCCCACTAATTACATATACAAGCATCCAAACAATTGTTATGACCCCCAGTATTTATGCCCATCTTTATTTAGATGTAGCTTCTTGAAGGTATGTGATATTTATTTTTGTTTTCACACCCCTATTGCCTTACCTAGTAGATGGTATGGGACTCAAACAAGATATTTCAAATGAATTAAAGAGTCATATCGCATCATTGTAATGGAATACAGAGAAACAAAATATTAAAGTCATGAAAAGCACATAGTAGATGCAGAACTTTTTTCTATTTGCTCTAGAATGCAGTATTTTGCTATCTTGAAATAAGTAAAAAACACAGAATTTTTGTTTCTTTAGGACAAATAATCCAAAAGTTTTTGCTGTTAGCTTTGGCACAGAAGTAACTCCTCCTTATATGCAACATGATGTTCAACAAATAATTATTCATGAAGGCTATGTCAAAGGTGAACATCACGATGATATTGCAATTATACGGCTCACTGAAAAAGTTGTATTCAAAAATGATGTGCATCGAGTTTGCCTTCCTGAAGCCACACAGATATTTCTGCCTGGGGAAGGAGTTGTTGTTACAGGATGGGGAGCATTTTCCTATAATGGTAAGTCCTGTGAAAACCTAATGCACTTCATGAAATTCAGAAGCAACAGGAAAAGTTAGAAAGGCACTGCAAAGTCCAGGGCATTCTTTGTCTCTGCCTATGGAGTAGCCAGGTGATTTCTTAAGGAGTGTTGCACATGGAGTTAAGATTGCTGATTGCCTTGGTTTGGAACATTCCTAGGAGACCAGTGTGCCTGTAGAACCTCCCTTACTAGCAGAAACTAATCAAGAAGGTTCTGGTCCAAAGGTTTCATTATTGTCCAGGTGGTGAACTCTTCTATCAGCCTAGAAATAATTACAAGGCAGAGAGTACAGAGAGAACTGATTCCCCAAGCCCCACTTTGAATGCCAAATGATGTTAGCGTGTGGGTGTTGTTTTTCTCTCACCCAGAACAACTTACCATAAAAGTGGAGTAAAAGAGGACTGAACAAATGTACTCACTGTAGGGTAAAGCAGAAAGCAGCATCTATTGTGCAGCTAAAGCCCCCCAGGCATGTGAACCTGCCTGGGACAAATGGTTGCCAAGGGACTCCTCATCTAAGAGTTTTTATATACAAACTTGAGTACATTTCAGTCAACTTTAGAACAACTATGGGGTTAAACACAGGAGAGTGACATAGAGTGGGCCTTTAGGAACTTAGGGTAGGTAGCCTGCATGCTTGTGCAAGCACCACTGATTATAACTTGAAACAGAGCAAAGGTATTCTTTAGAGAGGTAGAAGTATCTCATTGCTGGGCATGAGAATCCCACCAATCTAATGATGTCTTTGTTTACTGAGCATCTAATTCCCTGGCCTTGGCCATTGTGTCTTTCTCTGAATTTTCAGAGCCCTTGTTGGCCTGGCCCTTCCCTTGACTGTCTGTCCTCTTCTGCCAGAGCACTTCCTACACTCCTCTCTTGGGCCAGTGTTACTCTGAGAAATCCTGCCATCTTCCCACAGGGTTCCTCATCCTCAGCATCATGTTTTACAAGAAGCAGATTGTTTAGACTGCTGCTGGGAGTTTCTTTTTAGTTTAGGAAAATGATATCCAAACCTTAGAAAACTGAACTTACATTCAGTCATGCCTGAGGAGGAATAGTGGTTTATTCTTTCCAAGTCTTTTCTTATCTCTCTGTTTCAGGTTTGATAAGGACTTTGAAAGGGAATATTTAAAAAATGTTTCAAATTATATTTTCACAGTTTCAAAAAAATGTTTTCATATATTAGTGTGAAGGGATAGAGCAGATCTTTTCATTCAAAATTAAATGATTAAGTAGAATCAGTTGCACAGGGATCTTATGTGCAGAGGAGGCCTGCCCTGACTCAAAGTGGGGTTTGCTTCTTCTAGGTAAATTCCCAGCGTTACTTCAGAAGGCACTTGTAAAAATTATAGACACAAACACATGTAATGCTGAAGAAGCATATGATGGCATGATACAAGACACAATGATATGTGCTGGCTACATGGAAGGAAATATCGATGCCTGTCAGGTAATTCTTGATGCTATTCATATTGACCACATAGTGTATAAATAACTGCTCTTATTTTAAGAAAGTCATCACTTTGAAAACAATGATATGCTTCAGATGACATGTTCTTTGACAGTTTTTTCAGTGACTGGCTTGGTTTTGGCCCTAAAAAATTCTTCTTTATTTGTAATATGCAGTAATATGCATTTATACTTAACAACTACTTCTGATTTAAGCTAACTCTGATTTAAGCACTGTCCTAATTTCTTTACAAATAATAATTTTTTCTGCCCTTATCACAACCTTTTTTTTATTTGTGGTACTGGGGATTGAACTCAGGACCTTGTGCTTGCCAGGGAAGCACTTATTCTACTGAGCTATTTTTCCTGCCCCTCCCCCTTATCATAACTTAACACATAAGGATTACAGTTATTCTCATTTCTCAGATGAGGAAACTGAGGCAGAGGAATTCAAAGTATGTCCCATGTGGTCATACCCTAGTAGGTGTCAGTATTGTGTACATTTCTCTGGAACCCAGGATCAGAATTTGTCTTCTTTCCATCATTCCAACAAAAATCAGCCTCAGAAAGGTCTGAGCCACTTTCAGCCTATTCGCAACTTCTCCCTACCTTCCTGTCCTCTTCATGTAGAGTGGTTCTAGATACTTTTCTTAGACCTGAGACCCTGAATTTTAAGCATGCTCATATTATATTTCCCAAGTCTTTCTTGTAGAACTAAAGTATATAATTTCTTAGATCACACCTTCATGTTCAGTTGCACATGGGAGAGCCAGGGAATGCATCTTGGTCAGTAACAGTTGAAGTAAGGAATATTTACCTTTCCACTGTCTCTATTAAGCACCAAAACCAACCTAAAATATCTGAAAGGGAATTGTTATAATGATCAATGTTCTTTGTGTTATTTAGGGTGACTCTGGAGGACCCCTAGTTTATCCCAATTCTCGAAATATTTGGTACCTTGTTGGCATCGTGAGCTGGGGAGACGAATGTGGCAAAGTCAATAAGCCAGGCATCTACACAAGAGTGACGGCCTACCGCAACTGGATCGCCTCTAAGACTGGTGTCTAAGGGAGAAAAGTCTTATAAAAGCAGCACAGGGCATTGTCGCTGTGACTTCTAGTCCTCATTTACCATGCTTTTCTAATTAGTGGGTGTACTGGCTCCTAGAAAGAATGGGGGACCTCAGAAAATGTTTGTGAGTTTTTATTTTAGGCAGACCCTATAAGACAGAATAAGAAATCTTACTGTTTTGGGTCCAGAAAGGCTTAAGCCAAGAACATATTCCCACCAAAGCTAAATTTTATAATACCATACTGTATGTAATGCTATTCCATTAACTCCTCTGGTGGTTATCTCATCACAGCACAAAGCTCATAGTATCTGTTATTATGACTCTGGAGTGTTATGAAGGTGTATTTTTTGCCCATGGCAAATTAGCACAGAGTGCCATGAGAGACTGGAATTATGCATGTTGAGGCACAGCATGTGGTGTCTGCTTTCATGTCACAGCTATAGGACTGTGACATGAACCTAGTCTAGATGCAGGTGTTGAATTCCCATCTCTTATTTGCACTGCTACTTTCATCAATTGTTGCAAACATTGTGAAACAATTTCACAGCAAAAGTAAACAAAACAATACATTTCAAACTTACAAGGGATCAAGTACAACAAGTCTTTAGTATTGGTACAGTATTTAGTGGAAATTCCCTATTTGTCATACGTTTTGAAAGACTAATTATAGAGAATGAAAGTGTGTAGCACATTCTAATTAAAACAGGTTAACAGGCAAACTATCTTTGTTCAATGACAGTTTCCTTTTTCCTGTTTATTTTTATTTATTTTCTTAAGAATATGCAAATGTTGCTTTTTCTTGTCTTCAGCTTCCTTGGATAGGTAGCAGAGAGAGAGAGAGAGAGAGAGAGAGAGAGAGAGAGAGAGAGAGAGAGAGTGTGTGTGTGTGTGTGTATGTGTGTGTGTATCTACCATACTTACCCAGAGAATATGCAAGAATTCTCTTCACCATATCAAGGAGGCTTGAGTTTCATTAATAGATCCCATTCAACATGATTGCACTCAAATGATTTTCTATGCCAGAGAAAATTGATCTTTTATGTAGTCCTTTTGTAAAATTTCATTGTTATTGTTAGTTTTGAAAGGTCCTCTAAAATAAAACAACTTCTAAGAGTAATTTCTGAAATTAGCTTTAAGTATAATTATTGTGAATGTTTATGCTTCCAAAACTCACAAAGAAGTTTGATTGCCATTAGGATGGTATTTGGAGATAGGATATTTAAGAAGTGATGGAGCCCTGAGGGCTTTGTCCTCATGAATGTATTAATGCTGTTATTGTCCAGGTCATCTCTATACAAGGTGAGTTAGGCTCCTTTCTGTTTATTCTCACTTTCTGTTCCTTCCTTCCTGCCCCCACCCCATCCCTCTCTCAGTTTTTCTGCTATTTTGCCATGTTAAGAATAGTGCTTCTCCCCTGATGAAGAGAGGGCTTCAAAGTTCCATCTTGGAAATGTAGACTACCCTGACTGAACGCCAAAACTCCGAACATTTTGATCTTAGAGTTTCCGCCTTCAGAACAATAAGAAATGAATGTCTACCATTTATGATTTACTCTGTGATTTTCTGTTTTGGCCACATAATGTGTACTAAACCAACAATAGTCAAATATCATTGCTTTTATAAAGAACTTATCATGTTAATTAAATGTTAAACAGAAAGGAGGGATACATCAAGGGTTCTGAGAAGCATGAATGAAATCAGAAGAATCACCCAGTTGATGTTACCTTGACTGGGAGCTGTAAGTGATTTGTGAAGAACATGGAGAATACTTAGGAATTTCTAAACAGCTATTTTTCTTGACTTTCACTTATCATAAATATTAATAATAGACAAAGTAATAAATTATTTTTTAAAATGTAGGCTGCACTATAGAAAACCAAGTCTTGTCAAGGACTTACTCAAAAGAAATGCATATTGTTAAAACAACACAGATTAACTAGTTTGGTATACTAAGCAACCAATTTTGTCATGATAATGTGTAACTTTCCTTTTTTTGGAGTAATTTAACAAAACTTCTTTGACCTAACATAGAGAAAAAATAAATTCAACAACAATAAATATCTCTTTCCCCAAGAGTGCCAAGAAGGAATCAAAGGTTGGATGCCTGTTCATCTAGAAGGGGGCTCATTTTTGGGTGGGGTAGAGATTCTGGGGGCTGACACTAGTGACCGCCAAGCTTCTACTGAACTTGGTTTTGTTTGTAAACTTTGGATGCAGCTTCCACGATAGTTAGGTTGCTCACTGGGAACCCATGCTCTACCTCCACCTTGTCTTTCTCCCTGTCTTCTCCTATTTGCCTCCCAGAGATAGTTTATTAATGTGTCATCACTGAAGGCTGCTTCCAGGAAGATGGCTCTGCAAAGCTGCTGGGGTGGCAGTCCAGGTGATCTTCCTCTCCTGGCTCTGCCTGGGGAACTCCTGGCCTTCAAAGTCTATATGACTGATAAAGAAAAAGCTTTGGGCAGGTTGAGCTGCTCACAGAATAGGCAGCAGCCCTCACACTGCCCTCTGGAGTTTGCGAGGACTCACTCAGTGGTCTCTCCTAATCTAGAGGTCTGGGAAATGTGGGATATTTTGAGAGCCACACATTTCGCTGGCCTAACGTATTTCCTTAAAGTAAACTCCTGGCACTGATTTCTATGATTTCAAAATGAAGCAACTAAACAGCAAACAAGGGCTCTGATAATAATAATAATAATAATAATAATAAAAAATGTGGAAGAAACAGATTTATTAAGCATTTCCAGATCACGAAGTCATGGAAATGGAGTCTGAAGACCCCTGATAGGCGAGAGGTGTCTATGGCACAGTGATGAAATGTTCCATTATGGTCGACTTAGCATTGTTCTTAAGGCGAGTAGAAAAGGAAAAAGAAAGCTAAAGTACAATGATCCGAGCAATTGTTAATTACACAGATTTTTATGTCATAAAACTAAGAGAAAAATTTTATATATAATCGCTATATAGTTGGGCTGTACTATATGAAATATAAACAAAAAAAAGACTGAAAAAAGGATACAGGACAACAGAGTTTATTTTTAACAGAGTCCTGGTGATATGATGGTAAACTTTTTATTTTCTAGAGTTAGGACTGGGGATATAGGTCAGTGGCATAAATGCCTGCCTGGAAAGTGTGAGATCCTGAGTTCAATTCCCAGTACAAAAAAAAAAAAAAAAAAAAAAAAACAAGACCCTGTCAAAAAAAAAGAAAAGAAAAGAAAAAAGAAAAAGAAAAGATTCCAGTCTGTCATACTTTTCCATTGTGAGAATGGTGACAAAAGATTTTCTTTAAAGTATTTACATTTTTGTAAATCAAAAATCATTGGATACAATCAGTGAACATATTCTGGGCATCCACCAGACTGCCAGCCTGGTGGAGACCACGAGGAGTGTCTGGTAACCCTGTCCACAGAAAGTGGGCTTGAGTCCTTTCTGGAGCCCAGGAACCAAAATTCATTGCTTATTAGAGGCACTACTGGGAGAAGGAAGAGGGTCACTTCTTGCAGCCTCCTTCTCCAGTCTTCAATGGTTCCTAATTGCCCCTGAGTATAGCTGGAGAAATCCTGTGAAGTAATTGAGTTTCGTTCTCATGGGTGAAAATTAAGGGTGAAAATCCTTAATGAGGTCCAGGTCAGTTGGTGTCTCTGAGCTGTTTGCAGTGTGTGGCGCTTTCAAGAGCTGTGTCCACATAGCCTGCAGTACTTGCAGAGTATTCAGGGTGGGTAGTTGTGACTTTCTCCACAGCACTCCCAGACAGGAGGTTTGGGAAACATTTATCATCTACTCAACCTAACAGAACTGTGAGGCCTACTTAAGTTTCAATTTATTAAGTTAAAAATAAAAGGTATGTATCAGAGCCTGCTGCAGCATACAAGATAAACTTAATATTTAATTGGATTAATTTAAATAATGAGTAGATCTGACAATATAATGCAAGAATAAATGTGTAATATCAATAAAAACTGCACAGTATAATTATTTGGAAGTCAGTAAAACTTATCTTAAGACATAATTACTGAAGATCACAATTTTTTAAATTTACATAAATAAATATGTTGATGTTTCCTACATCAACATACGCTACATCAAACATAATTCAAATAATACACTGCTAAACTATATTCATATAGCTTCAAATAAATTGAAACTAACATGACATAGTATTTAAAACTGAGCCTCAGAAAAGCAAAAAAGCCTACTTGTAGTTTGCTAAGAGAAGTTTTTAGCCTATTTTGTTTTTTAACTCAAAAATTTTAAACCTTGCACCAAACAGCTTAGTAACACCTAGAAATTCTGGAATTAGCAAATTGCCAATCCCATCAATGAGGCATACACCCAAAGAGGACTTGAGTTTCTTAGCTTTTTCAAACTCTTTTTATAATCATTGTATCTCTGCATTTATCTCCTCAGATTTCTTTGTAAATGTTCCTCAAGCAGTTCTCTTTGGGTATTTAGCTTGTGCTCCAAAATATTTTTCTTTGGAAGTAGTTTTATATTGTCCATATGGCAAATTCCCAAGCAATAAAGACAATGAAACTCTGAACTGAAATAGGTAAATGAGAGACAACACAAGTTACTAAACAGTATAAAATACAGCACAGTGATGCTAGCCCCTGGATAATGAAACAGGAATAAAGTAAACTTCGAAGTCTGAATACTTTCACAGCGTTATACAGGAATGGAATACCTAATAAAGTTCATGTGTTATAAAATAATCAACAAAACTGAAAAAAATTAAAGTTCTTATTAAAGTTCACATTATACAAAAAATGTCAATTAAATAAAAATGTAGACATGAAACATGTCTACAGAAAGTAAATGAGATGGAAGAGCATTCAAATAAAATCTGGGATGGAGGCCCTTTCCCAGAGTGACATACCAGACACACATTTCAAAACAATTGATATCGTTAACTATATAAATACACATTTTCCATAGAAAAACATTAGCAAAGTAAAAAAAAATGGCAATACAGGGAATATATTTTATGACAAAAAATGGTAAAATAATTTCTAACAATGTTTAAATCACTGAGATTAAAAACCAACACCCTTGAAAACACTGGGCAAATATCTAAGATGAATTTTTTTTAAGAGTAGGTAAATTTATTGGAGAAAAGGAATGGGGAACAGGAGTAGCTCCTGAGAGACAGAAGGGTCCCAGTGGGTTGCCCTAAGATGGAACTAAGTATGCTCAACTTCAACAATAAGAGATGGGAAACAAAGCTATGTGATGCCTACATTCACTGCAGAACAAGAAGGAAAGCCACATTTATTTTGGTCTGTTTTGTTTTGACATAAAGATTTAGGTAAAGAGAAAATATCTTCTCTTCCCGACTAAGAGCATGAATTGCTTCAGTTATACAACACAGTGATTAATGCAAAAGCCTTCGATTCATTATGAAATTATTTTGTAGAGTTAATGACCTGTGTATCAAATGGCACATGTATTAGAATGTGTGTGGCAGCAGTATAGCTTGGAAGAAAATGAAACCTACCTTTTTGTGGGTTGCAAATCAAAGATACCAAAGGACATCTAGGCAAAGGAACAGTCTACAGTCAGTACAAGGAAGGGAAAGCTCATTTGTACTAGTTAGTATAAGATGATCTTCAAGATTTTTATAAAATGTAGAAAGGAAAGACATAAGCAATGTATGGAGATGCTCCTGAAAGAGTAAAATAAAATTGCAGGTAGTAATATTGTTATATAACTCAAGTCAAATGTACAACAAACTAATAACAATGGTCAAAATTTAAAACCGAACAAAACAAAACATACAAACAAAAAAACAGCGCTCGTGGTGGGCAGCAGGACCTCGTCACACA